ATTCAACTCAAAAATCTTGTTTTAACATTACAAATTATAAACAACCATGAAAGTAAAGTCAAATTGAACTACAATCAACTATATTCATAATACTCTAATGAAATTGAAACAAGATGAAGAAATAGTTGAGCTTAGCCAAGTGAAGACTTCAAAACTCCTCTTCCATCAATTCTCCCTTAGGATTCCATGGAGAATCTAGCTAGAAAACATCAAAAAATCCTTGCTCCTCCAAGAACACCAAGAGGCCGATACATGCTCCATGAATCTTGATGAATTGAGCTTCAAATCTCCTTCTAGTTGCAAGGGTTAGGGTTGGCCATGAGAGAAAAAGAGAATGGTGAAAGAATTGAGTGGATTTGATGGTGAAAAGTAGAAGAAAAGGTACTTGGATGTGGCTGTATGTATAGAGAGAAGGAAGAGAATAATGAAGAACAAGATAAACAAGAGAGAGAAAATGTAAAAGATGAGTGAATGGGTGAATAATCTCAATTTGGGGCTGAATAGACATGCATCTAGTGTTTCCCTTCAGCTGAATACTCAATTAAAAAATTAAAAAAAATAAAAAGAAAATAGGAGCCTTGTTACACTTGCAAGGTGGCACCCTTCTATTGGTTTGTAAATAATTTCAATGTGTGCCTAATTTTTCACGTGTCATTCATATTTCAAGCTGATTTAATCCCCCAAAAATATCATAAATCACATGCAAATGCTTAGCTATTGACCTCAATTGCCCAATTGATGCACAAGTCACATGCCACCTATGTCACATAAATCACATAATTTAATTAAATAGCATGTGACATAATAAAATCTAATTAATGTCTAGAATTAAATTAATAATTAGAAGGAAGAATTTATTAAAATAACTAAGTTCTAGGCTGCACAAAATTATGTAAAAAATTTTCACACAAAGACAACACGAAAACTAGGTCAAATTAAAATACTTAAGAAAGTGTTGACTTTTTTATTTAATTACTCTTAAACTAAAATAAATTTTAAAAATATAATTTCACCACTCATCAACTGGATATAAAATTTAATTTTTTAATTTTTCTTGAACATTTTCTCAAAATTTTATTTTTTGGACCAAAATACCTCTAGTGCACTAAACTTAAAAACTTAGGCAAAATCCAAATCTAATGCAATATATGCACTTGAAGGTGATAAATTATTAATAAAAGGATCCTAATTAACAAATAAAAGTGTATAACAAATGTGTTCTATCACTAACTTGATATTTAGATAGTAGAGCCTCTAATCATGTAATGCATGAAAAAAGTCATGTTTTAGGAATGAGTAATCAGTCTGGTTCAAGTAATTTGCTTATTGGTAATAGTGAAGGTTTAAAAATTACTAGACATGTTTTTGGATGACCCCCTTGTGATCATCATAACTCATTGTTGTTAAAAAATATTTTAGTCGTGCCTGTTATTAAGAAGAATCTATTTAGTCGTTTTGAATAATGATATATTAATCCAATTTTCCCTTAATTTTTGTGTTGTTAGGGATCTAAAAATGGGAAAGGAGTTGCTTAGAGGGCAAAGGTGCAATGGACTCTACAAAGTTAGTGGACAACCACAAATTTTTCACACTCTTGATAATGAAAAAAATCTATAGCTTTACTAGCTGTTTTATAAACCTGGCATAAACACCTAAGTCATGCTTCTTGTGAAGCAGTTAAAGAAGTTCTTAAACAATGTAATATATCCATTAATAGTAATAACATTTTTTATTTTTGTTATGCTTGTCAGTATGGTAAAGTGCAAAAGCAGCCTTTTCCAGTGTTTGATTCATGAGCTAATTCACCAATAGATGTTACATACATTGATTTATGGGGTCTAGCGCCTATTCAATCTAAAACAAATTTTAAATACTATATAAGTTTGTTGATGATCATAGTTGGTTTACCAGGGTATATTCTCTAAGATCAAAAAGGGAGGCTCTATCTACTTTTCTTCAATCTAAGAAGTTAGTGGAAAATCAGTTTCAAAGAACAATCAAGGTGTTACAGAGTGATTGGGGTGGAAATTTTTGTAGTTTTGCTTCAGTTCTTGCTAAGTCTGGTGTTAAGTTTCCTCATCCCTGTGCACACCCTTCTGAACAGAATGGGCATGTGGAACGTAAGCATTGTCATATTGTGGACACAGGTTTAAGCATGTTAGGACAAGCTTCTATGCCTCTTCATTATTGGTGGAAGGCTTTTATGAGTGCTATTTATATTATCAATAGATTACCCACACCTGTTCTGAAAAATTCTTCACCATTTGAAGTGTTATTCCGTTCTACACCTAATTATGGTGGATTTAAAATTTTTGGCTGTGCATGCTTTATATCATGTGATTGCGTTCTTTATTGTCTAAACTTGGTATTTCCTCCAAAACCACTACATAATTTCCGGTGTTACTCTCCTTGCAGAAGAAAGAAGAGCTACCATATATATTAGATGAAAGATGAAAAATCCAAAACATTAATAAGATACAGTTAGAAACTAAGAATGCAAAAAAGAAATAAATAGACAAACAAAATATAAATACATGAAGATATGAAGGGCATGGAAAAAAAAGGGGGAAGTAATTAGAAAAAATAAGCTTCTGACACTATAGCAACAGTTTGAAGGTAATAGGATAGAAGATTGGAAAACCAAAATAACCAATAAATAATACGAAGAATGATGAAATTGAAGGGAAAGTTTCCTAAATCCACTTCTTCCATGTTATTTGAACATGAAATTTGAATCTGTTTGAGGCGGCAACAAAAGTAGACACCAACGGGAAAGAGAATTCCATTTTGAGTGACAATAATTCCATCGAGAGAACAACAGACATGATTTTCTTTTCAAATTTGAATCGAAGACAGAATGGGAGAGATAGAGTTGGGATTAAGCACCAAAAAAGCAATAGATGGATAAAATAATTAGATTCAAATCTCACCTTCTTCCTTCGATCTTGCTCTCTAACCTACTCGACACCATCAAGATCGAAACGATCAGCTTCCTCATCGTCGTCTGCTCCCTCTCTTCTCTCTGCCACTACTTTGGCTCGCTCTCGTAGTCTCATTGCCTCGCCGCTGTCATCATCAACACCGACGCATTCTATGACGCCCTGGAATCCGGTGCCTCTCCTTTTGAAGATTGAAGATCTGAATCTATTGAGGCAAGACAGAGAGAAAACAGGGGGAAAGAATCCCATTTTGAGGAGGAATTGATTGAGAGAGTCAAACAATAGAATAGATCTGATGATATTATTTTGAAATTTGAATACGAATGATGGAAATAATGATAGAACGTGGAGAAATGAGGAATACAAAGAAGCAAGGGGCATGCAAATGCGGATGCAATTAATGCTCCCGGGCAATTAGCAAATTACATTGCACTCGATTGAAACGAAATTTGAAAATTGGGGGGACTGCATACTAAACGGATGACCCAGACTTTATATTGGAATCATATGAAATAAAATAAACCAATCAAATTTTGATATTTACATCTAACTAAAGTCTATCAACCAATTAGAGTGGATTTTTTTTGGCCAATCAGATTCATTCAATTCATTCTACGAGATTTGTGGAATATAGTTAGTTGATTGATAGTTGATTGTTTAGTTGTCGGTGGCTTTACGTCTTTCAGATATTATCAAATTAAAAATGCTACACACACATAAAATTCATGTATATATCATCACAGGATAATATAATTTTTAATCTCTTGAGTTTATGTCAATTATTAATCTGGTTTCTCAAATTTAAATTCTATCAGTTTAGTCTATCAAGTTATTTTAATTATCAATTTGATTTTTATTATTTAAAAAAAATGTTACTCTGTTAAAATTTATTAACTTAAATAATGGAAAATAGACGATAGCTATGCAAATTAATGAAAAAAAAATGTAATTATTTCGGTAAGAAAAACAGACTCTAAGTTTTATTTTTTCCAAAAAAGGAGAATAAAACACATTGTGGGGGATTATATGAATAAAAATTAAACTCCTTTAAGGTTAATTTGTTCCCATTTAGCTACTTATACATTCTAAATCATCAATATACTTTATACATTGAATTAATTGAATAATCAATTTGTATTTTAAAATTTAAATGACTTACGTGATAAAAATTAAATTTAAGGGACCAAATTATTAACTAAAATAAATTTGAGAGACTAAAAGTTTTATCATCCCTATTATCACCAAAGAGTCATAGTTAAATTTCAAAAAAAAATTAGTGACAATTAAATTAATAAAAAATTTTAAAAAAATAAATTATAAATATCAATTAAATTAATTATAAATATAAATTTCAAGTGCAAATAAAATATTTAAATTCTAAACATAACCCTTAACTTATAATTAAGATTCTTTATTATAATTATTTAAATAAATATTTACAACTTATTTTAAAAAAATTTGTGAGGCACCTAATTATAATTAATTTTCTTTTTGATACTTGAATATCATTCTCTATTATAATATTATGAAAGATTGAAATTATTAGAGAAAACGATTAATTATTAATATATTGGCCCGACCTCCTTTTCCACAAATGCGAAGCTCACAATATCTTATAGAAGATCAAAATCTTCATACATTCATATATACCCATCAAACAAACACATTTATTTAATCGATTTTTTAATCGTAAATGCCCATAGGAGGGCATCCTTGTGATTTGTGAACGAATGGGACGATTGTTATATAAATGTAGTTTGATTATCGGTGATGGAGTAGTGTTGATTAAAACAATTTTTTACTTATGGATTTACGTTTTCATATAGCATTAATTTTTTTAAAAAAAGCTGGCCCATGTTCATAATGTAATTAATTATAATCAATTGATTATTCCTGTGATAATTAGAATTTTGATATTATTTTCTTCTTCATATTTTTAACATATTCTAAAGATGAGCAATACATCCAATCTCATGTTGACTCATCTTTGACATGAAAAGAGTTACAGCATATCACTAACATAAAGTCTACGATAAAGTTGCGTATTCAAACACCATTTTTTTAAATATACTTGCATATACAGTTATGAACACTAAAGCAAGCATGTTAAAGGTTTACCACTATTGTTTATTAATGGAAAACGAATCAATACAAAAGCAAATCAACATCAAAGCAAACTCTAAATTTTGTGCATTATTCCATCAGAAAGATGGGATCTGAATCTGTGTGCTACAGTTTCCTCTGGGAAACACTGGGCACTCAATGAAGTTGGAAGCAGAAGCGTCAACACACAGATACACTTGGTAGAGCTGACTATTCCCAGAAGAATCCTCATTACACTCTATGAATGGAGCATACCCAATTCCTTCCTTTATAGCCTCTCTAACGCTGCTCAGGCTGTAGGATCCTCCATTTGCTTCTATTCCTATATAGTTTCACGCATCAATTCATGTAAGTTTCAGTTCAGAAAGATATAACCGTCTTCAGCAATTGTTTATCATTAAGGCCATATCATCTAAATTCATAAAGTGAATGTAGAGGATGAATATTCAGAGAGAGAGATAGAAAGAATAAAGTGGAATAGTAGGCCACATGTCTAATTACGAGATCTATAGCTAAAGCCTTCAAATATTCACGTTAGACTCTATTAAATTCACAAAATGAACGTACGTAGATGATGAGAATTTTTTTTTCATGAACTTGGTGCATTATGTCATCCATGCTCCATCCAATAAAATTGCACTAATTCAATCAAATAAAATTTTATGTATTATTAGACTTTATTTTTATAACAAAAATGCATATTTAATTTCTTGTCTTTTTTGCAGAATCAATCTATAAATAGAAAATATTTAGAGGTATATGTCTAACATTAAATGAGTTTAGAAGTTGCACCAGCACTGTTGAGAGCTTGAAGGAGATTGGATCTCTTTTTGAGGGTGAGAGAAGCTTCAAAGTAGTCATGTTGCTGAAGAACTGATTCTGAGCAAGTGCCATGTTTCTCCCATTCATGGCTCCAGAATTTTATCCCATTCCCGCTTGGACATGCCAGTGTGGGCCAGTCCTTATGTAAACTGCTAGTCAGGTCTGCTATCTGTCACCATATTCAAAATCATGTTAGTGTCACAGCAAGGCCATTTATTTGCACAGATTGAACAGATTCTGATTATAATTGATGAACAGGCTGCTCTATGAATGAAGCTTGTCTGGTATATATTCCAATGGAGAAAAATTCAAGTACATTTTAAAGGATGCCCAGACTTTGCAGAACATGAAGAAATGAAAATGAAGTCAAACCTCAGTTTGCTTGAAGGGGTTGGAAGAATCACAGTTTGATGGATAAGAGCCATCATTATAATTAGGCCACAGTCCATGAATGCCAAAATCTGATTCAGGTTTCCCAGTTGTTGGATAGCAACAACTCTTCTGAGTGTCACAATATGACCCTGGCCACTTCAAAATCAAATATTGCAAACAAACAACTTCAGTTTCAGAGAAACACACATACACACACAGTTCTTATTAAGTGTTGGGATCAAACCTCCTGGACAAAGTAGAAGAAATCGAAGTTCTGTGAAACACAGAGAACTGAGAGATACTGCAGAAGCAGCACAAAGCTGATATTGAGGAAGAAGAAGGATGCCTTGGACATCATTTTGGTCTTCTCAGATTTGTGTGATTGAAACAATCAAGGAAAGAATGAAGGTGTTGATTTCTTACACGTCAATTAATTTATAGGCGAAAATGGAAGGTGAGCAATGATCTTGGAAAGAGGATCAGGGAGGGGATATTCTTTCTACCAATCTTATCAACTTTTGATTTTGATTTTTACGTGTGTAAACGCTTTTAACTCGTTGGACATGTCGGCTCATTTTGTTTTGTTTTGTTTTTCCTTTTAGAAACATCCTATTGGAATTAAATTATTTTTAAACGGTTGGGGAGATGAATGAAAGTAAAATAATAATGAATGAAATCCAATATTCCATCTGTGACGCGATATTATACATATATATATATATATATATATATTAATTTCCCTATAGGTGTTATTATGAGATTTAGATTTGGTGAGTGACATTGATCCACTTATTCAGCGAGTATCAGATAGGTTCCCAATTTCAACACTTAGTTATGAAATTGTCACTGTCTCTATTTTTTATGCCACTTTTAAGAAAAGTAATGTAAATTGATGGCATTAGAATGTATATTTTGTAGTACTATAAGTAATGATAATATTAATGTCTATTGACAAAAGTAGTTATTGATGAAAAGTAAGTAAGGAAAACTCAGAAAATATGAGTGATACACTAAAAATCTTTGCTATTGTTGAACTTGTACGCCTTTCTTTAGCTCTTTCCTTTGATCAACTTCTATCCTTTATAAAAAGAACCTTTTCTGATAAAATAGAAAAACTTGTAAAATTCTTTACCCTACCAGAAAAGGCTCAGATACAAAGTACAAATCCTCTTTTCCTCAATCCTTACAAGCTGTATCATAGAACTAAATCTTTTACTAGAAACATCAAATCCCTAATCTCTACCTAATAGCTAACAGGCAAAGAAGTTGTCTAGACTTCTAAGCATGACCAATGTGCCTTCCGATCACTATTGCTAAACAATATGTTACCTTTGAAATTCCTCAACCTTTGATAAACACTTGAAAGCACAAGGATACACACCTCCATGTTGGAGCAGTATGTCTAATCTTGGCTCTTCACGGAAGAAAAGGTATTTCTACTATAACCAGAATAGCCTTGTTGAATACCACCTACAAGTCTTATAGTAATGCCTTGATTGGCACACTGTTGACTACCCTTAGCTAAGGGAGTATGATACTTACTAAAGCTCCTAATTTCAACATCAAATTGACAAACCCCACTCTTTCAACTAGATTGAAAATTCAAGTCTAGATATAAGAGCAGAACAAGATTCTTTAGCCATTATAGCCATTATCCATCATTAGATCATCTACAGGCTTCAAGACCATACCATTCACTTACTTGAACTTTCCTAATTAAGTTGAAGTTTAGTACGGCCTATCACCCCCAGACCGATGGTCAGACTAAGAGGACAATTCAAACTCTCAAGAATATGTTGCGAGCATATGCAATTGAGTTAGTGGAAGTTGGGATGAACACTTGCCACTCGTGAAGTTTGCCTACAACAACAGCTTCCATGCAAGTATTCAAATGGCTCCATATAAAGCTTTGTATGGTTGAAAGTGTTGATCACTTCTTTGCTGGATCGAGCTGAGTAAGAGGAGTATCTTAGGTCTGGATTTGGTATATCAAAACTATAGAGAGGATAGAGATAATTTGACAGTTGTTGACTGCCCAGAGTTGGTAGAAGATCTATGTGGATGAAAGGAGGAGACCACTAGAGTTTATGGTAGGCAATCATGCATTCTTGAAAGTTTTGCTTATAACCAGTATTGGGAGGTCTATTTGATCGAAGAAGTTAACTTCTAGATACATGGTTCGTTTGAGATTCTAAAGAGAATGGGGTCGTTAGCATATCGAATTGCATTACCTACACACTTATCGAGTGTACATGACATCTTTCATGTCCCACAACTCAATAAGTACTAACCCGATTTGTCTCACATTATTGAACTAGAAGAAGTGGAGCTACTGGAAAATTTGACTTACCAGACTGAGTTAGAAAAGGATAGCTAATGTAAAAGATAAGTAGCTAAGGAATAAAGCTATTCGCCTAATCAAGGTGATATGGAAGGGAATAACTCTCGAAGATGCTACTTAGGAAACGGAGGAGAAAATGAGATAATAGTATCCCCATCTCTTCTAATGAAGTAAGATTTACATGATTCACTAAATTTTAGGGATAAAATTCTTAAAAGAAAGGGAGAGTTATAACATCCAAAAAAATTTAATCTTTATTTATCAACCCAATGAGTGTAATTAGTAAGTTAATGAGGTGTGTGGCCAGAGGAACCTAATTTGGTGCAATCAACCCTTGAAGTGGGTTCGAATTGATAGCGAGCCACCCAAGCAAGGATAGAGAAAGAAAAAGTGAATGAGTGCCCTTTATGCCACATGTTATAGCATATGGTTAATCTACTATAGTACATAGGGGCAGATTTAATTGCAATGGGCCTCTTTGTGCCATTCACAGTGACGAAGGGCGTGCGCTACGGCGTACAGTCAAAAATCTAATATATCAGTTTCATATCTGTTCAAAAATTAGAGAAGAGAAGAAGAGAATCACAAAGAGGATGACTTTGGCTCTGCTAGGGTTGGTTGTTAGAACATATTGGTGATAAATTAAAACTCCCAAACACCTAAGGTAAGTAATTGTCGCACCCGTCATGTGACATGGTGGCCCAATCATCGTGAGGGAGAAAAAAAAAAAGAGGGAGCCGCCACCGATATTTTAAGGAAAAATCTTGGGAAACCAGTTGAAAGTGATAAGGATGATCTTTGTAATCAGAGATAGATTCGAGAGTCAATTGTGAGTGGTAAAAGTTGTACACACCCCACATCACTTATTTTATAGAATGGTTACCTTTATTAATTGTGCAATTGATATGGCCTTTTAAGATTATTTTAATTTAACTATTCTTTTTATTATTCATCTACTAAAAAAAATCTAAAAAAATTAAAAATTAAATTTAAATATGAAAGGAAATTGTTATTTATTTACAAGTGGACTTGACCTAGGATGAGAGCCTAGGGTTTACGTACCCTACTAGAGGAATCAAAGCCCACGTAGTTCAAGATTATAAATTGTTAGTGAAAATATTTTTTAAGGAAAAATTAATTAAAAATAATTCACTATTTTACAAATAAAATAATTTTATGAAATTCTGATATGTATTTTTTAAATTACAAAAGTAATTTAATTTTAATTATTTTCTTATTTTTTAATTTTTGAAAAAAAGAAAAGGTAAAGAGTTTAAATTATTATTATTTTTATATTTTATGGTCGAAAATTTAACCACTATATATGCAGAGCCTTATTGACTCATACGATAATACAATTATTTCAAATAGCTGCAGAGGTTCTGAAATTTCACAAGATAAAAAAGTTTAATAACTTAATTTATTTATTTATATTTTTAAATATTAAAAATATATTTTGTTAAAATGTGTATCTATATTTTTATATTTTTTTTAAAGACTCTTAATCATTATACCTGCAAAGTCTTATTGACTTATACGATAATATGACTATTTTAAATATCTGTGAAAATTCTAAAATCTCACTCAATAAAAGATTAAATAATATATGTTTAACTATATATTTAATTTAATTGATTTATTATGTATGTATATGATTTATATTTTTCATATGAAATCCTAATCGTTATACCAGCGGAGCTTTATTAACTCATGTGACAATACAATTATTTAAATGTATAAGGAGATTCAAAAATCTCACGTGACTAGAAAATCTCACTAGTAAATGTGATTATAATTTAAATAATTTAATTAATTAATAATTTTTTTAAAACATGTATTATATTATTGCAAAAGTTCATTTATTTATTTCTATATAATTTGAAAATTACAATATCTGTGAGGATTTATTATCTCACATGATAATGCACTTAATTTAATTCTCTACGAAGATTATTAAATTCTTACATGAGATTTAAATATTTTATTAATTTATATTATAAAAAGAGAGTTAATTTTAATGATGGACCTTTGGAACTCATGTTTAATATACAAAAATTAGATCTTCATACCTACAAAATCTTATTGATTTACACAACAAAAGATCATTATAAATATCTTAGGATATTCTTAAAATTTCACACAATAGATAAATCCTAAATAAATACATTCTTTCTTATTATTATTATTAGTCCTATTATCATTATTTTATTGAATGTCAATTCAGAGTTTCAAACAACCTAAGAAGGAATGTTATGCACTTGGAAAAAAAAAAAATCACTCTCTCTCCTCGAATTAAAGAAAATGCACAACAATGTTTAGAAGGTTTCCAACAGTTGAGTTGAGAATGTGATAAACCATATATGAACACAACACTACTTCAAGTAAATAAAAGGTCGAGAAAGCTCCGTATAGACACCAAAACTACCTCAATCTGATATCGGACAGAGATTTAAGACGTGTTGGAAATTCACTCCCTGTACTATCAAATGAGAGCACTAATGCTATCAAATTCATGTAATGCGCCGTGGTGCATGGTGTCTCACACTGCGGTGCATGGCACAAAGAAAGGTGAGCTGTGGCGCATATGTCACAAGTTGCGGCGCATGTGTTCTTTTCTGCACAAAATCCTGTTTTAAGTTTTAAAACTCATTGTCTTGGGTCCCTTTTGATTTCTAAGCTTCCAATTTATTTTCAAACCCTATTTTGAACATTATAAGTATCGATTGAGATTTAAAATGTTGAATTTGAGATTCCATTGTAAATGATTTGAGAAATTTTTTTCTTTTATGAAATTTTACAACTTTGGTAATCTTTTGAGGGTTAATCTCTTAATTACCTTGATTGTGGAGTTAAACATGATTAAGTAAAGGAGATCTTATACTAAACACCTCTAGTAAACCTCATTAACATCAATTATTGTATATTTATGACTTTCACCAACCTAACATTTATATCTTCATCAATACCAAGTTTAAATAAATAACTTAAATAATTTCCATCAACTCTATTTAAGTCAATGGATTTGGAACCATAGCTTATATGGATTGAAAATCATCCTTCCAAGCAAAACCTAACCCTCAAAACTTGAGAAAATGGAAGAAGAGAGTATAGGACATGGGAGACTTACTATTAATGTTTACAACTTTAAAATGCTCTTAAACCTTTAAAAACCTCATGCCCTAACATATCCCAACGTTCCTCCTCATTTTCTCTTTTGTTTCGTATCTATTTTTTTGTGTATGATATAGCTCTTATTGCTATAAAATAGTGACCATGCACTGTGACATATGGTACAAAGAGGACCCTTCCTTACTAATTAACACTTGTGTG